TTATCAGCTTCAGACGGGCAGGCAAGATGACATTTTATCAGCTTCAGACGGGCAGGCAAGATGACATTTTATCAGCTTCAGACGGGCAGGCAAGATGACATTTTATCAGCTTCAGACGAGCAGGCAAGATGACATTTTATCAGACAGGCAGGCAGGATGACATTTTATCAGACGGGCAGGCAGGATGACATTTTATCAGCTTCAGACGGGCAGGCAGGATGACATTTTATCAGCTTCAGACGGGCAGGCAGGATGACATTTTATCAGCTTCAGACGGGCAGGCAGGATGACATTTTATCAGACGGGCAGTTAGGATGACAATTTTATCTGACGGGCAGTTATGATGACATTTTATCAGCATCAGACGGGCAGGATGTCATTTTATGAGCCAGTGTGGGGTTCTAGGATAATATTTTATCACCTTGAGTATGGTGTTAGGATAACATTTTTTCATCCTATGTCAGATATCTTAACTAAATCAACCTCAGATAAGCATGATAAGCCTATTGTATCAACCGCAGACAAACGCTGATATAGAGGATGACATTTTTATCAGCGACACATCCCGGCATGAGGACAGGGTGTGCTCTATCCAACCCCGGCCACCGGTCCCTGACCTTTGACCCGCTGATCGAAAATCTACTTTCTCTCTGTGTCGCAGGGGAGAGAACTGTCGTCCACGCATCGATTTCTCTAGCGCTAGGCTGGGCAGTTAGGATGACATTTTATCAGCCACATGGCTAGGCAGGATGACATTTTATCTGCCTGACATTCCCCTCAACATTCAGACAGCTGTTCAGTTGACATTTGTATTGTCCTTATATACGTGCTTGACATTTAGAACCTCAAATGTCCATAGCTGTATAATGTTACACGGCTCTGTAGAACTAGATGACTGTAAAATGTGTACACGATTGTTACATGATTGTATAATAATGTGTACTTAACTTTATAATGTGTTCATGTCTGTGTAATATGTACACGACTGTGTACACGATTGTATGTGTAAATAACTGTATAGTGTGTACATAATTGTATGTGTGCTAAACCCAATGAGTACACAACTGTGTAATGTGTACACGATTATGTTAATGACTGTATAATGTATTTAGGAATGCATAATTATCATGCACTTATCTTTATAATATGTACATAGCTGTGTAATATGTACACACGTGATTGTATAATGCGTATAGGACTGCATAACATGTAATAAACTTTATGATATGTAGGCTACATAGCTGTGTAATGTGTACGCGACTGTGTACATGATTGTATAATATTATGTACTAAACTCTGTAATGTGTACATATCTGTGTACAAGATTGTATGATGTGTGTTATGTGTGTAGTCAGGGAGGTAAGATGGCAGCTGTGTATTAGACACTTACTTAGGTAATTAGCCGATAGCCGGCTAATTGAACGCGCGTGAGATGGGGGGGGGGGGGGGGTGGAGGAAAGGTTGCACACCCAAATGAGAAGAATCACTCAATATGTAGCGGCGCATGTAGGTCAAATGCTAATGTAGGTCAGACGCTTTCGGGATGTGTATATGCAGACAAAAGTAGGTAACGTTTTTATGTAGGTCAAATACACGTGTGGTGTGCAGACGCAGGTAGGTCAAAAGCTGACATGGGACGTGTGTTTATGTAGGTCAAAAGCCTATGGGATCTGTGTGGTCAATAATAGTCAAATGGTTATGTTATGGTCACATATATGTGGACCAGTTGTGTTGGACCGCACACATTTCCAACACCCCTAGTATCGTATTCGTTCTTCTATTTAGACATTGTAGATAATCATTTAGCCAACACTTTAGTACTCGTATCGTATACAAGTTTTGCTAGTCAGACATTGAAGATAGTCATATAGCCAATCCCTTAGTATCGTAGTCGTTCTTCTACTCAAACACTGAATATAGTTACTAAGCCAACCCCTTAATATCGTATTCGTACTTCTATTCATACTTTGAAGATAATCACTCAGTTTCTCCCCCTCTCCCCCCCCCCCCCATTCTGCTAGTCACGCCATCATCTAGAACAACCACTAGTATCTGAGCCTTATCTGTATTATCTTCACAACATACTATATTATCTTATCAGTCATAGTTATAGATGACTGGATTAATAACCGACTCATATGATATGTCATCTAGTTGACTGTTGCTATTGGTTACCTGTATGACGGACTGCAACCAGTTGACTGAGTGTTGGTGGTTAACAAAACCCGTTCGGCTCTTGTGGGTTATCGGGAGACAACCGGTTCATAAACATCCGGCTATCGTGGGATAGCCGGTCTGGGAAATGAGAAGTTGGCCACTTTTCGGATCGACCACGTGACTTTAATTCGGTCAGTCTAGAGATCACGTGTTACATGGGCACGTGACCAGTTATCTACATGACTCATCGACCCATTGTCACATGCCGTAGCCTTATTGAGAAACTGTGATTTCACTCGGTAGCCTTAGTGAGAAACTGTGATTTCATCTGATAGCCTTAAACTGTGATTTCACAAGGTAGCCTTACTGAAAAACTGTGATTTCATCATGTAGCATAACTGAGAAACTGTAATTTCATAAAGAAGCATAACTGAGGTAGCCTTAAACTGTGATTTCACAAGGTAGCCTTACTGAGAAACTGTGATTTTACAAAGTAGCATAACTAAGAAACTGTGATTTCATAAGGTAGCCTTACTAAGAAACTGTGATTTCATAAGGTAGCCTTACTGAGAAACGGTGATTTCACAAGGTAGCCTTACTGAGAAACTGATTTCATCAGGTAGTCTTAAACTGTGATTTCACAGTGTAGCCTTACTGAGAAACTGTGATTTCATAAGGTAGCCTTACTGAGAAACGGTGATTTCACAAGGTAGCCTTACTGAGAAACTGATTTCATCAGGTAGTCTTAAACTGTGATTTCACAGGGTAGCCTTACTGAGAAACTGATTTCACAGGGTAGCCTTACTGAGAAACTGTGATTTCACAGGGTAGCCTTACTGAGAAACTGTGATTTCACAAGGTAGCCTTACTGAGAAACTGTGATTTCACAAGGTAGCCTTACTGAGAAACTGTGATTTCACAAGGTAGCCTTACTGAGAAACTGTGATTTCATTGGGTAGCCTTAGAGAAAAACTGTGATTTTACAAAGTAGCATAACTGAGAAACTGTGATTTCACAAGGTAGCCTTACTGAGAAACTGATTTCACAAGGTAGCATAACTGAGAAACTGTGATTTCACAAGGTAGCCTTAGTGAGAAACTGTGATTTCACTCGGTAGCCTTAGTGAGAAACTGTGATTATACAAAGTACCATAACTGAGAAACTGTGATTTCACAAGGTTCCTGACTGAGAAACTGTGATTTCACAAGGTAGCCTTACTGAGAAACTGTGATTTCATTGGGTAGCCTTAGAGAAAAACTGTGATTTTACAAAGTAGCATAACTGAGAAACTGTGATTTCACAAGGTAGCCTTACTGAGAAACTGATTTCACAAGGTAGCATAACTGAGAAACTGTGATTTCACAAGGTAGCCTTAGTGAGAAACTGTGATTTCACTCGGTAGCCTTAGTGAGAAACTGTGATTTTACAAAGTAGCATAACTGAGAAACTGTGATTTCACAAGGTTCCTGACTGAGAAACTGTGATTTCATCTGATAGCCTTAAACTGTGATTTCACAAGGTAGCCTTACTGAAAAACTGTGATTTCATCATGTAGCATAACTGAGAAACTGTAATTTCATAAAGAAGAATAACTGAGGTAGCCTTAAACTGTGATTTCGGTAGGTATTTATGAGTAAGTGCCTCTACCCCGTCCTCATTACTGAGCCTCGTAGCTTGAGCCAATTGATTGAGTTCACTCCCCTTGCCACCGCTCTCCACGAAGTGTTCGGTCTATACGTCAACTTCATGAGTCATGCGCGGACCACGTCATAGATGGGCGTCTCTAGCGGCCGCTCGACTGGGGCGCCACCCTGTGTAACACGGTGTTTTTTCTTTTTCACAATAACACAGGTAGTCTAAAAATGATAACACTTTTTTTACGACGATTATTTCCCTGCATCCTCAACAGCACAAAAAAAACAAAAACGTCAAGCTTCAGACTACACTGTCCCCTTCCCCCTCTAACACACACAACAAATCGACATTGTACTTTAGTGAAAAGCGATTTCTTTCTAAAATATAAATTGACAATGTCAATGTTTGCTAGATTCTATACTGATACATTTTTTATTACAATTTACAACAAAAAAAACCCTCTTTAAAGAAACAAAAATGTTTCGTCTCCCCCCCCCCCTCCTCATTAGGCATTCTTAGTTTAGTTATAGAGATAAGTGCCTACCCGGCGCTTAACGTGGAGCCCCTAGTCTACTTAAAGATTCAAGATAATTGCATCTGTCCTGGGCTAGTCTCTCCAACTGTTCCAATCTTCTTGGTGTCTTCTTCCAGGTCGCGTCTTCAGGTCTGCCTTGGTCGGTCTATTTACCTTTTGCCCTGTAAACTCTAGGTGAGGGCCAGTCTTGTTATGCTGGGTACAGACTTCCTGAGTGGGTGGGCATCCATTTCCTCTGGAGGATCTCTTCTTCAGCTGCCAGTTTGTTTGTTGCCAAAGTACCTCACTGCCTATTATTACTAGACATTTAAGTTAGGAGGACTGAAAACACCGATTACAGCTGCTATTATAGGCTATTGATTCTTCATATTATCTTATTACTAACGATACGTGTGGTACATTTGCGGAAGACAAAGAATGCCACATTATTAATATCAAATTGAGTAGAACAGGTAAATAGGCATACGTTGACGAATGTGTCATGTGTGAGATTTCAATGAGAACCATTCAACGTTTATAACTGTTGTTCAGTGGTAGTTCTATTTAACTGCTATTGTTTGTATTATCTGTTATGTATCTGTTTGCATTTTCAAACATTAAACTTTAAACGACTATAAAGAATCACACCTTAATAAACACGTTTTTAAAATAAAAAAACATTGCATTTATATTTCTTATTGTGTTTCTTAGTTGTGGTACTTTTTTTTTTGCCGTTTTAAAATGTATAACGTTTCCCTTCCTCTTAGCCAAAACTAGCCTCTTTTTTCTGCAAAGTAAACCTTACACTTTACAGGTGGTCTTTCATTTAAGGATTTCGAAATGTGGAAGTTATGAATAAACGCAGCGCTTGTTTTACTTCCGGGTGTACCCTTTCAAGTCCAGTATCGCGCCGAACTGTGCTCTGATATTTTAAGCAGCTGTGGAATGAATCAACGGTTACGTCCCTTTTCCCCCTAAGTTTCACAAATCAATCAACGGTTACGTCCCTTTTCCCCTTAAGTTTCACAAATCAATCAACGGTTACGCCCCTTTTCCCCTTAAGTTTCACAAATCAATCAACGGTTACGTCCCTTTTCCCCTTAAGTTTCACAAATCAATCAACGGTCACGTCCCTTTTTCCCCATTTTAATTTGATGAAGATTTCCTGACACTGAGCCTTAGTCTTCTGGCCTCTCGTCCCCATATTTCCTGAGACTGGGGCAAGCTTTGATGACGGTGAGAAGGTCGCTGACAGCCATGAAATCAGAAAGGAGGGAATCGATCATGAGGTGGGAGGAGCACTGGTCAAGGAAGTCCACAATTGCTATGTCAGCCATCGTCATCTGGGGACGTCACGTCAATTAGGTTTCGTAGTGTAAGGACTGGTTTAAAGAGCTTGTTGTATAAAACTAAGCACTCACACAAATAATTCAAAGTGTAACTTTTTTTTTTATAAAACTAAGCCCACAAATACATAATTTAAAGTGTAACTTATTATATAAAATTAAACCCACAAACAAATGATGAAGCCGTGAAGCCTAACTGAAGGCCAGTTAAGACGATCACACTGACCGAGGGCGGAAATTAGAAGTGGAGAATCGTGGTTATTACTAGTAGGACGATATTTCTCTCATTAAATTATAATGCATTTAATTTAATAAATAATAATTTGGTATTGTTTTATAAACTTTTAAAGTTGAATGAAATTCTGACAACTTTTAATACTCGTGAGCACTCCGAGTTACAAAACTAAGAGATTGTGACCTATACTTTGGTTAGAAACGATGCCAAAAAAACACCTCTTTATTTTAATATCTAAACTGGTCTTCTGTTGGCAATGATTCTATGGAGAATAACCAAAGATTGTTTTGTTACGTCAATGTACCCCCCCCCTGCCCCTAGCCCCTGGATAGGCGGTACCACATGTACCCAACTGTTAATGTAACCTACTAGCCTGGCACACACCTTGCCCCCCAGCCGTTTTAACACCTGCTCGTGAAATATATTTTTTGTTCCTCTCCTTGTAGCAACTACTCCTATTTTTATAGAGATTTTTTCCCACTTTTTTCATTGCTAAAATATAAACCTCTCAAAAACCTAGACTAAAATCTACGAAGCAAACCTGTGAGCCAAACATACGATGCCAGCTTGTGATGTAACGTGGTGAGGTAACCTGTGATCAGAGTTTTTTCCAGGCATCTCTTCGCCCACCCCCCCCCCCCCCCGAACGAAATGAAATTTATATAATTTATATAGAAAATATATACTTTTAACAGTGTCCGCCCCCCCCCCCCCGAAGAAAGTCTACCGCACCCCCGAAAATTTCAAGTGCCCCCCCCCCCCCCGGAGAAAAAAAGTCTGGAAGAAACACTGCCTGTGCTATAAATCTAGCCTTACCCCCGAGGCTGCAATAAACGGTCCCCTGGTTTTTTGCAGGAGCTGATCCCATTCCTTCAGCGCTGGGGGCAGGATGACGTGTAGAAGTTGGCCTTGTGCCCACTCCTGTGGACGGCGACACACGATAGAATTAAACGCGACACAATGGAATTAAACGTGACACGATGGAATTAATCGCGACACGATGGAATTAAACGCGACACGATGGAATTAAACGCGACACGATGGAATTAAACGCGACACGATATAATTAAACGCGACACGATGGAATTAAACGCGACACGATGGAATTGAACGCGACACGATGGAATTAAACGCGACACGATGGAATTAACATGCGACACGATGGAATTAAACGCGACACGACATAATTAAACGCGACACGATGGAATTAAAGGCGACACGATGGAATTGAACGCGACACGATGGAATTAATCGCGACACGATGGAATTAAACGTGACACGATATAATTAAACGCGACACGATGGAATTAAACGCGACACGATGGAATTGAACGCGACACGATGGAATTAATCGCGACACGATGGAATTAAACGCGACACGATGGAATTAATCGCGACACGATAGAATTAAACGCGACACGATGGAATTAAACGCGACACGATGGAATTAAACGCGACACGATGAAATCAACATGTGAAACGCAATGGAATTAAACGCGACAAGATAGAATTAAACGCGACACGATGGAATTAAACGCGACACGATATAATTAAACGCGACACGATATAATAAAACGCGACACGATGGAATTAAACGCGACACAATGGAATTAAACGCGACACGATGGAATTAACATGCCACACGATGGAATTAAAGTTTAACTTTCTGTAGGCGGCCAAACAGTTACTACAGAGGGGCGTACAGAATCTAACAACACTCGAACTTTAGATGGAAAGTGGCTTTGAGAAAGTGGGGATTAAGAAAGTGGAGATTAAAACAATTGGGATTTTAAAAAGTGGGGATTAAAAAAGTGTGCTACACTTTGGCGCCTAACACCTCTCTTAAAACTGAATTTCAGCGGTTATATCGCCTTTTTTAAAAGCGTGTTTGAATGCTGTAATAACAACGAAATCTCAAACACTGCGTGCCTTTTGGGTATTAATTAATTAAGTAATGATTAGCGATGTTTTTGGCTAAATCGACGGAGCTTGTCAAGAGCCGACTAAAAAATGTTTTTTTTTTTAAAAATGGTTACATCCCTTTATTGTGGAACTGACTGACTTGCTATTTTAAAAATTAAAAATGTAAATGTGATGGCGGGGAGGAGGGTGGGTGGGGGAAAAAGGGCATTTTCCCCCCCTCGTCAATTATCCCCAGACATTTCCCCCCTGACATTAACCCCCTGTCAATTCAACTACACCCCCCCCCCGCCCAGTAGGACATTACCCCCGCCCCCGGCAGGGTTAGGCTTAGGGCTAGGGTTAGGCTTAAACCAATATCTAGCGTTGAGAGGGGGGGGGGGGGGTAATTGACAGGATGGAATTGACAGGGGGGTAATTTCTGGGGGGGGGGGGGTAATGTCCTGTAGCCGTGGGTGGGTGCTGCAGAGTGAAGTCTGACTTCTTATGAACATGTATAACCAGTAGGTGCGGGAGTTTAAAAAAAGCTAAAAATGTCAACATTAGAATAAAACTAACCAACTAGACTTTTAAAATAATTAGAAATGAATTAGAATTAAATATTTTTGAAAGTGCTTGACATAACTGTGATTTGACCTAGGAGAAAAATTAGGATGCTTATATGTATACCTGAGTTCTATTGACACCAATTTACCTCCTCCCGTCTCACCAACATCACCCTCTCGTATCACCAATTTCCCCATCCCGTCTCACCAATTTCCCTCTACCGTCTCACCAACATCACCCTCTCGTATCACCAATTTCCCTCTACCGTCTCACCAATCCCCCCTCACAAATTTCCCCCTCCCGTCTCACCAATTTTACCATCTACCGTCTCACCAATTTCCCTCTACCGTCTCACCAATATCCCCCTCCCGTCTCACCAATTCCCCATTCTCACCATTATCCCCTCCCGTCTCACCAAATTCCCCCCTCCCGTCTCACCAATTTTACCCTCTCCCGTCTCACCAATTTCCCCCCCCCGTCCCGCCTCACCAGTTTCTCTCTGTTTTTCTCCCCACTGATGACCCATGAGATGGCCCTGTTGTTCTGGTGCTTGAGCCGACGTAGCCGCTCGTATGTGGCCTCAACAATCAGATGCTCGTCATTGATCACACCCAGTAGCACTGATGGGAAGGTTCAACACAGTTAAATATTTGTACTTAGGCAAACTTAAGTTATATTATCTGGGTCTATATTTGGCTGTCTGTTTAGTCTGTCAATAATCAGATCACATGATTTGAATTATACAATTGTTTATAATACTATCCTCACATACGTGAAATTATCTAACAGCCATACAATGATATAGTTAGATTGATAATTGTGTTGATCAGATTGATTGAAGGTGCTACCTTTGTGTGCTTCAGAAACTAACATTGTATCTGTGATCATATACGAACCTATTGAGTACACACTAAACGAACTTGAAGATTCCATCAACATAACCAAGTATGGAGCTATGAGATTAGACCTCAGCCTAGCGGGGTAACGACACAACTCGACATATCAGTTGAACTTAGATCTGAACCCCAGTGTGTCGACATCGGTCTTGTACGTACGCCACTACACTGAGCACACTAAACACACGTTTGCATGACTTACAAAATTTTCTAGCCAACATCCTGACAATAGCACCTGCCTCGCCCCACTGTCTCCCACAGCGTGAAAGAATGGGCAGAGTCTGGTAAGGAGTGGCTGGAAAATACAGCAAATAGTATTAGATACGTTCAAATGCAACTCCAGAAAATTTCTTTTGCAAGGGAACGAATACGAATAATGTTAAAATAAACTACAGTCGCTTCCCTTTGTATGATCTTAAAAAAAATTATTTTGAAAGGACTGACAATTATAGTATTAGTACAAAATGCATATTGATACTATTTTTATTTCCCAAACATTTATTGGCCATGCCCTCCTACCTAAATCTTTCTAAAAATGTTTAATACTCTTCCTACCCCAACATATTCTTCATTTTAATATTTTAAATTTTAAAAATTTGGAAAGCTCACTAAAGAAGCTTTAATTACGTGGATATTCTCAGAGGAAATTATTCAAGAAACACATAAAGTAATGGCTCAGAACGTAAATTTAAATGGAGACTAATATTCAAGTCAAACTAGCTTTAATGAGAATTTTTTTATATTATTATTATAAGTAATTTTTAATATTATTTGAATTATTTATTATTTAACTTAAATTAAGTTTTATCTTCCGCTTGATGTTGCAAAGAGATTTTTTCCCCTGGTATGTTTAACTTCACTCTCCTTTCCATGTTCCATCCAGTCCATGTTTTAAAGAAGCAAATTATTTATACTTTATGGCAAATTTAATTTCATTTAATTGTTTGCTTTTTGGTTATTAATGTCGGTTTTCTTACAAAACCATGCCTTAACTTCTTTATACAATAAAGCTTAAATGTGCTCGACATTTCGCATTTCTGCCAGTTTTCCGTTTGACTCTCCGTATCAGACAAATCCACGATCTTCATCCTAGTTTGGTTTTTCATTTTATTTCAAATCAGGAAATATATTTTTGTTATCAGCCTACACAATTCTTCAGTTCATCGACATTTAGCTTACATTTTTAGTGATATAAATCACTTCACATTTCTGGAGCTAACGAAACTTGGGGAGGGGGGGGGGTGTTATATTATGGTAGATGGTTGGTAAAGGACAACGCTATATAACAGTGAGGTAAGTATAGGTATAATGAGTGGACGAGTGGCCTTGACCTACTTGGTTTCATCTCCTCCCACTCCTCCTTGGTGATCCGCTCGTCCTTGAACGGCTGGTTGGCGATGACGAAGAGGAGCCGGATCAACTCCGCCTCGCCCTTCCCTCCCACACTGGTCAGCGTGTACACACTGGTTCCTGGTGTGGAGGAGGGGGGTGTTAACAGTTTTAAGAACACACACGCATGCACACTCACGCACCACACTCAAATACAAACACACAGCACAGTACAATTACAGCACATTTACAGCACACGACAGTACAATTACAGCACAGTTACACACAACAGTACAATTACAGCACGCACCAACAGCAGCCACAGCACACAACATCAGCCACAGCACACAACAGCATCCATAGCACACAACAGCATCCATAGCACACAACAGCATCCATAGCACACAACAGCAGTCACAGCACACAACAGCATCCATAGCACACACCAGCATCCATTGCACACAACAGCAGTCACAGCACACAACAGCATCCATAGCACAAAACAGCAGTCACAGCACACAACAGCATCCACAGCACACAACAGCAGCCACAGCACACAACAGCAGCCACAGCACACAATAGCATCCATAGCACACAACAGCAGCCACAGCACACAACAGCATCCATAGCACACAACAGCAGCCACAGCACACAACAGCATCCATAGCACACAACAGCAGTTACAACACACAACAGCACAGCTACAGCACACAACAGCACAGTTACAAGAGCACCTACTCCACTCCTCCTCCTCCTGTTTGATCTTGAGTGCCAGAAGTTTTTTCATCTTCTTCTCGGCGTTGACCTGGGCCCTCATCAGATTGAGCATGTCGTCATCGTACTTCTCCCCCTCGTCCGAGTCTTCATCGCTGCCCGCCTCTGTCTCGCCCGTGCTGGGCTCAGCCACTTCCCATACCCTGCAGGGATGATGGTGGTGATGAGATCATACCGGTAATTAGGTTCTTATTGTTAATAGTGGGGGTAGGGGTCGTTGGGACTGGCGGGGTAGGGAGGGGTTGTCTCTGCTTTTCTTAAGTTAATACTGCCTGCCTGAAATCACACCTACCTGCCTTAACTCTAACGACCTACCTGCCTTAAGTCTGACGACCAACCTGCCTGAAGTATGACACCTTACCTGTATTAAGCCCTACCCTACTTGCCTTAAGTCTGACGACCAACCTGCCTGAAGTATGACACCTTACCTGTATTAAGCCCTACCCTACTTGCCTAAAGTATGACGACCAACCTGCCTGAAGTATGACACCTTACCTGAATTAAGCCCTACCCTACTTGCCTAAAGTATGACGACCAACCTGCCTGAAGTATGACACCTTACCTGTATTAAGCCCTACCCTACTTGCCTAAAGTATGACGACCAACCTGCCTGAAGTCTGACACCTTACCTATATTAAGCCCCACCCTACCTGCCTTAAGCCTGACACCTTACCTGCATTAAGCCCTACCTAGATGCCTTAAGTCTGACACCTTACCTGTATTAAGCCCCACCCGTCTCATGTCCCACCTGACCTTTTACTGTCCGTGTTGGACAGATGTTGCCACGGCACGAAAGAACCCGGATGGACCAGTGCTAGACGCAGCACCTTGTTCCCCGAGACACTCCCGTCATCGTCTGAACTGCCGCCATCTTCCCCGCCAAGCGTTTTCGATGGACTAGATTTCCGGGACCTCATTCTCCCAGGTCTCGAGGTCTCAGCTGTCTCGATATGGAGTGATGGGATCTGCTAGAGACTCGTCCGAACTCGGACGACTGGAAATTGGAACTACCAGACAGGAAGGTGTTGCCCGTGTCGATTGGGGAACCTTGTCTATGTTAATGTTCGGACATGGAGATGTCTCTGTTAATGTTCGGACATGGAGATGTTGTTTCTGTTAATGTTCGGACATGGAGATGTTGTTTCTGTTAATGTTCGGACATGGAGATGTTGTTTCTGTTAATGTTCGGACATGGAGATGTTTCTGTTAATGTTCGGACTTGGAGATGTTTCTGTTAATGTTCGGACATGGAGATGTTGTTTCTGTTAATGTTCGGACATGGAGATGTTTCTGTTAATGTTCGGACATGGAGATGTTGTCTCTGTTAATGTTCGGACATGGAGATGTCTCTGTTAATGTTCGGACATGGAGATGTTGTTTCTGTTAATGTTCGGACATGGAGATGTTTCTGTTAATGTTCGGACATGGAGATGTTTCTGTTAATGTTCGAACATGGAGATGTCTATGTTAATGTTCGGACATGGAGATGTTTCTGTTAATGTTCGGACATGGAGATGTTGTTTCTGTTAATGTTCGGACATGGAGATGTTGTTTCTGTTAATGTTCGGACATGGAGATGTTGTTTCTGTTAATGTTCGGACATGGAGATGTTGTTTCTGTTAATGTTCGGACATGGAGATGATGTCTATGTCAATGTTCGGACATGGAGATGTTGTCTATGTCAGTGACAGGGTATGGAGACGCCCCTGTCAGTGGCCGGACATCAAGGCGTGTGATACTGCCCCTGCGGAAAATGGAAAGAATATTTAAAGGATCAGGGATGATCATAGCTGTGTGGCAAACAGAGCCAGGGTTTCTTTCGATCATTTGAGCCGGAGATGGGTGGAGGGAGAGGGTAATGGTCTCCCCCTCCAACCCAGAGCATATTTACCACCCCCCCCCTCAGATAAAACAAAACATGTAATTTAAATAAAAATTATTTACTTGTGGATTGTGGTGTAATTAAATTGTCAGCTGAACGTCACGAAGGCTACTCACAATCATTAGCATGACTCTGGCCATATTTACCATAAATCTAGCTTTAACGATATATTTTTTTCGATCTAATGTGGTTTTATTAAATAACAGAAACGTATTTATTTTGTACCTTAAACTTTAGGAAAGTAGATAATCCAAGTTTAAAAAAAATTACAATTTTTAAAGAATTAGCTTTGTTATTTAATAATTAAAATAGCTAACTAAAATAGATATACCTTTGCCTCACCCTAATACACATAAAACTAACCCAACAGCCAAACCGATGATCTGAAATTTAGTTATAGGAGTACCAATGTTTTAGCTTAGTTGTTATGGGTTTTGAAAAAATGCCCGCATTAGTAAGTGTGATGAAACTAGAAAAGTTTGTTTCTTCAATGATGCTTGTGTTCAGTGTTTCTTCCAGACTTTTTTCTCCGGGGGGGGGGGGGGGGGGGCACTTGAAATTTTCGGGGGGGGGGGGGGGCGGTAGACTTTCTTCGGGGGGCGGACACTGTTAAAAGTATATATTTTCTATATAAATTATATAAATTTCATTTCGTTCGGGGGGGGGGGGGCGGTAAAAAAAAATCGGGGGGGGGGGGAGGGCTTTGCCCCCCCCCCAAGAGATGCCTGGAAGAAACTCTGCTTGTGTTCCCGTCAGTTCATATAAATACTTTGAGTACAGGTACATGCAAGAGCGCGCGACTGCTAACCCCAAAGTCTCGAGTTCGGGTCCCTGGCATAGCCCGTAGAATATCCCTGAGTCCACCCAGCTCTGATAGGTACCTGGCACATGATAAGGAAAGTAAGCCGACTGAGCATAGTGCTGACTACACTATACCTTCAAATGCGGAGGTCAAGGGACATGAACTCTACTTCATCTGACCTATAAATCGTACAAGAGTAAATGAAATGCAAAAACCTCGACGTCGCCTCATTTGAGGCGAAGCAGCATAGGAAAGCCCGCCATTTTGTATCTGCGCAGGCGGGAAAGTGACGTACAGGAAGTGGCTTGCATCCTAGGAAAGAACGTCATTGTAAACACATCTTGTCAAGGCAACCAGGGCTTTTCCTTTGATGGACTCAAAAATCTCATTCGAATTTTAGATCGCATTTCTAACACAGCAAAGATTTACGACAAAAAAATATTAATCATTAAATTTATGCATTTATAAAATAATATTAATCATTCGTTCGCAGTGAACTTGAATTCTACGAGAGCTTATTTGGCCATTATTCTCAAGGCAAGCCATCTTTGTTTACGAGTTTACGACTAAACTCTACATCTTACAAGGAAAAGGGTGAGTTGATATTGATCTAATAACTAAACTAGACTCTAGATATGAACCAAATTATAAGAAATTCAATATCTTACCACTAACACCAGCCAAAAAGTTTTAAAACTGACCAAAAACAGCGATTGGAAACAGGGACTTAGCTCTTTGTTTATAAATGAAAAATGAACGAACTTACTTCATCCCGGAAGCGCTGAAACTATTTTTGGCACGCGCAAGGGAAGATTTGTTGATATATTTATTTCATGACGTCGACAAATGCTTAGTGGCGTCAGAACGATGTGCTAGCCATTACAAATGGAGAAGCGAGATTGTGAAGTTGTGCATGTATCGTCTGAGCAAATGTCGCTGTACCCTGAAGAGAAGAATGAAGATGTGCCAATGTCGCGAAAGTGGAGGGAGCATAGGTAATACCGCGGTGGTAAAATGGGTTGAACGTAAGTAAATCGCTGAATGAGGGACGACGTCACGCAATTCACGGTGATGTTTTAAAACACCTAAAAAATATGCTGATTCTAGATAAAGATCTAATGTAGATCGAACACTCCATTCGATCTATGACAGGGTACTCATTCGCCGTAGATACATTTTTGGTCTGTTGCTGTATGCTAATCCTGGCCACAGCCGCGGAAAAAATACAGCGATACGATATTACTGTATCGCTCAGTTAGTGGTTTATACAAGTACTAGATCTATATTAGTTTTCTTTGTTAGTTTGGTATTGGAGTTAGGTTTGTCATTGAAAAATGTGAGTACGCTACCAGAGGTTCAAGTTTTACCTAAAAAAGAAACGCACCAAAAGTATAGGTGTAGCTCTGGAGAAACTTAAAAACTTAACTCTTCTTACATGTATATAAAGGGATTTTCTTAAAGCGTCCGGCAGACAATATAGTAAAGTAATCCAATGGAAGCTAAATGTAATGTGGTAGGGCTTATTTGTGTACATTCTGTTAGTAACTTGACTATAAACAAAGTCCCAGTGTTAGGTCTAGAATTAGGGTAGCGATACTAACAAAAGGGTTCATTTTAGGACATACCGTGCTTTGTTGAACCAGTTCTTAGACTAACCGAACGGGCTTAAATCTGAATGTTAAAAAGTTTTTCTAGTGACGTCAAGAATGCGTTCGAGTGCTAACCCAAAAGTCCTGATTTCGGATCCTAGCTAGACAAATGTGTGGGGATGGATCACTAGCTAGACAAATTTGTGGGGGTGATCACTAGCTAGACAAATGTGTGGGGATGGATCACTAGCTAGACAAATGTGTGGGGGTGGATCACTAGCTAGACGAATGTGTGGGGGTGGATCACTAGCTAGACACGTGTGGGGGTGGATCACTAGCTAGACGAATGTGTGGGGGTGGATCACTAGCTAGACACATGTGTGGGGTGGATCACTAGTTAGGTAAATGTGTGGGGGTGGATCACTAGCTAGACAATGTGTGGGGGTGGATCACTAGCTAGACAATGTGTGGGGTGGATCACTAGCTAGACAAATGTGTGGGGGTGGATCACTAGCTAGACGAATGTGTGGGGGTGGATCACTAGCTAGACGAATGTGTGGGGGTGGATCACTAGCTAGACAAATGTGTGGGGTGGATCACTAGCTAGACAAATGTGTGGGGATGGATCACTAGTTAGGCAAATGTGTGGGGGTGGATCACTAGCTAGACAAATGTGTGGGGGTGGATCACTAGCTAGACAAATGGGGGGGGGGGTAGACAACTAATCAGGCGTATGTTGGGGGGGGGGGGGGTACGGCTAACTAGTTAGACGAATGTGGGGTATGGCTAACTAGTAAGATGAATGTGGGGGATGGGGGTATGGTTAACTTATCAGACGAATGTGGGTCGTATGGCTAAATAGTCAGACAAACGTGTGGGGGTGGATCACTAGCTAGACAAATGTGTGTGTGTGTGTGTGGGGGGGGGGGTGGATCATTAGCTAGACACATGTGTTGGTAAGCCTCAAACGTTTGACGAATGTGGGGGGTATGGCTAACTAGCCAGACAAATGTGGGGGTATGGCTAACTAGTCAGACGAATTTGGGGGTATGGCTAACTAGTCCGACGAATTTGGGGGTATGGCTAACTAGTTTGACGAATGTGGGGTATGGCTAACTAGTTAGACGAATGTGGGGTATGGCTAACTAGTCAGACGAATGTGGGGGTATGGCTAATTAGTCAGACGAATGTGGGGGTATGGCTAACTAGCTAGACGAATGTGGGGGATATGGCTAACTAGCTAAAGGAACCCACTTGCCCCATGATTGCTCCCAAAGGTTCCGCTTTTACTAAATGTGTCCACCATCCTCCCACAGACTTGCTCAATCAGAAAGGTGGGCGTGTACGATGGTGGACTTCCGGCGGGAACTGGGACCACAGCTAGAGGATCTCCGATCAAAAGGCCTCTTCTGTGACGTCACTATGGTGTTCCCCCAAGATGGGCGGAAAATGCACGTGCATAGAAACATTTTAGCAAGGTGAGCTTAACACACGAATAGGGTAGAAAAATGTGTTTGAAAGGTGAGCTCATAGTTTACAACCAATGTTCTAATGTTTTTTTTTTTTTAGCTTTTTTTCTGTTGCTGGGAACTTAGTTCTACCACTCTTCTATTTAGCTTTAGCCATAGTTTTTAAAATATTCCATTCAGCCATAACCATTTTTCTGTTGGTTTTCATCGTAGCTCTAGCCATACTTTCAAATATCTTTTGTTAAGCTGTAGCTACAGTCCTTTTTGTCTTTAGCTGTGCTTGTAGTTATACTCGTTATTTGTTTAGCCGCAACAAAAGTTATTTTTCTCTCATGTCTAGCTGTAGCCATTACTTCCGAACTCTTTTCACCTTCAACATGACGACATCGGGACATATCGAGGTGGAGATACCGGGGATCACATACTCAGACATGGAGGTATGGAACAACGCTAATACTGACATGGTCAACATTGTAGCAACGCTAAATCTAAACAGGGTCAAGATTGTAGCAACGCTAAATATAAACAGGGTCAAGATTGTAGCAACGCTAAATACAAACAGGGTCAAGATTGTAGCAACGCTAAATACAAACAGGGTCAAGATTGTAGCAACGCTAAATCTAAACAGGGTCAAGATTGTAGCAACGCTAAGTCTAAACAGGGTCAAGATTGTAGCAACGCTACATCTAAACAGGGTCAAGATTGTAGCAACGCTAAATATTAACAGATTGTAGCAACGCTAAATATAAACAGATTGTAGCAACGCTAAATAGAAACAGGGTCAAGATTGTAGCAACGCTAAATAGAAACAGATTGTAGCAACGCTAAATAGAAACAGGGTCAAGATTGTAGCAACGCTAAATACAAACAGGGCCATGATTGTAGCAACGCTAAATACAAACAGATTGTAGCAACGCTAAATAGAAACAGGGTCAAGATTGTATCAACGCTAAATACAAACAGATTGTAGCAACGCTAAATACAAACAGATTGTAGCAACGCTAAATACAAACAGATTGTAGCAACACTAAATACAAACATGGTCAAGATTGTAGCAACGCTAAATACAAACAGGGCCAAGATTGAAGCAACGCTAAATACAAACAGATTGTAGCAACGCTAAATACAAACAGGGTCAAGATTGTACCAACGCTAAATACAAACAGGGCCAAGATTGTAGCAGCGCTAAATACAAACAGGGCCATGATTGTATCAACGCTAAATACAAACAGGGCCAAGATTGTAGCAACGCTAAATACAAACAGAGCCATGATTGTAGCAACGCTAAATACAAACAGGGCCAAGATTGTAGCAACGCTAAATACAAACAGGGCCATGATTGTAGAAACGCTAAATACAAACAGGGCCAAGATTGTAGCAACGCTAAATACAAACAGGGCCAAGATTGTAGCAACGCTAAATACAAACAGGGTCAAGATTGTAGCAATGCTAAATACTAACACACAATTTCATCCATGATAAAATCAAACAGGCCCAATATTATATCCGCCCTGCCTTAACTTTTATGTTTGGATTACCCTTTATCTTACGATAGCTTAAAGTTTAAAGCAATGTTTGCCATTTTAATTCGCCTTAAAACCATACCATGTGTATTTTTAAAAGATCACTTAATTTTTTGCAGTTTATTCGTAGCGCTATCGTTACCTGTCTCTCTTTTTGTACAGGCGATTGTACAGTTTGCTTACACACACAAGGCTAACCTAACTGCCAGCAACATAGAATCCGTTATAGTTACAGCTGACAGACTCAACGTCTTGGGGCTTTTAAAGGTAAGGTTATGTTAGCCCTTAGCGAACCTGGCAACTTTAATGATAGCCCTTAGCGATCCCTAAATCTTTAATGTTAGCCCTTAGCGATCCTGACAACTTTAATGTTAGCCCTTAGCGATCCTTACAACTTTAATGTTAGCCCTTAGCGATCCCGACAGCTTTAATGTTAGCCCTTAGCGATCCCTAAATCTTTAATGTTAGCCCTTAGCGATCCCGACAACTTTAATGTTAGCCCCTAGCGAACCTGACAACTTTAATGTTAGCCCTTAGCGATCCCGACAACTTTAATGTTAGCCCTTAGCGATCCTTACAACTTTAATGTTAGCCCTTAGCGATCCCTAAATCTTTAATGTTAGCCCTTAGCGATCCCGACAACTTTAATGTTAGCCCCTAGCGATCCTGACAACTTTAATGTTAGCCCTTAGCGATCCTTACAACTTTAATGTTAGCCCTTAGCGATCCCTACAACTTTAATGTTAGTTCCCCGGAATCATTACAACAATAATGTTAGTTTATAGGAATCTCGACAACTTTAATGTAGTTTTAGGGATCCCTACAATTTTAACGTTATTTCTTAAGGATCGCCACAACTCTAAGGTTAGTTCCCAGTGATCCCTACAGCATAAATATTATTTCCAAGGGATCCCTACCATTTTAACGTTACTTCCTAGAGATCCCTACAACTTTAACGTTACTTCCTAAAAGATCCCTACAACTTTAACGTTACTTTCTAGAGATCCCTACAACTTTAACGTTACTTCCTAGAGATCCCTACAACTTTAATGTTACTTCCTAGAGATCCCTACAACTTTAACGTTACTTCCTAGAGATCCCTACAACTTTAACGTTACTTCCTAGAGATCCCTACAATTTTAACGTTACTTCCTAGAGATCCCTACAATTTTAACGTTACTTCCTAGAGATCCCTACAACTTTAACGTTACTTCCTAGAGATCCCTACAACTTTAACGTAACTTCCTAGAGATCCCTACAACTTTAACGTTACTTCCTAGAGATCCCTACAACTTTAACGTTACTTCCTAGAAATCCCTACAACTTTAACGTTACTTCCTAGAGATCCCTACAATGTTAACGTTACTTCCTAGAGATCCCTACAACTTTAACGTTACTTCCTAGAGATCCCTACAAATTTAACGTTACTTCCTAGAGATCCCTACAGCTTTAACGTTACTTCCTAGAGATCCCTACAACTTTAACGTTACTTCCTAGAGATCCCTACAACTTTAACGTTACTTCCTAGAGATCCCTACAACTTTAACGTTACTTCCTAGAGATCCCTACAACTTTAACGTTACTTCCTAGAGATCCCTACAACTTTAACGTTACTTCCTTAAAGATCCCTACAACTTTAACGTTACTTCCTAGAGATCCCTACAACTTTAACGTTACTTCCTAGAGATCCCTACAACTTTAACGTTAGTTTGTAGGGAACCATACAATTACAACTATAACGTTACTTCCTAGGGTTCTAACCCTATCAGCGATGTCAGCAAGTACTCTACTTGCCATGCCGATGATCAAAGGACTGCCTTTAGAACTAGTGCTTATTGTTAATACACAAGAAATAATATTGATAGAAGTTAACTAATGGACACCAGCGAGTTGACGAGATTCCTTCCGTAATATTGTTGACATGGAATAAAAATGTGCTTTTTTAGATTTAGGACCATAAAACTAATAAAAGATAAAATTTTATTAAAAACTTAAGCCTAAAATTAATTCAGAAATGTAATATTTTTAGAATCAATGCTATACAAGTTGCAGATCCAGAGAACTTGAAAATAATTTGTTGAGTTTAAGGCTACATTTCTATTTATTTTCATCAAGCCTAAGTTATAACCCGATGTTTCACTTTCGTAAGACAAACATTGATTGGCTGTAAAGGAACTCCGTGATCGATTTCTGACAGCCCCACTTTATAGTTATTTTGTTTACAAAACTTTGCAGATCAAATTTTTAAATAACTATGCAAATTTAAACACCATGACCTATTGTTTCTATTTTTAGCTTACAATGTGTACAATAAAATTTATGTCGGCCATTGTTTATGTCGCCATTACACGTGAAAACCAAATTGTTTTTTCTTTTTTTTAAATTTTTATTTAGTTACCGAAAATATTAAAAACATCAAATACATCCAATCTTTAGTAAAGTCCGAAAAAAACCAGACAGACAGGATTTTATAACCATATTAATTGTAACTACGCCGTGCAAGATTTTAAAATGAATTTATACACCTCTCAAATACCTTTGAGACTTTTCTCGCTGGTGTCCATTCGTCCATGCCACAACTGAGTTTCACTCACGCCGCTAATGTGTGTGTATGTAAATGTGTGTGTGTACTCCGATGTGTTGTCAACAGTTGAATGTGTTTCAGGTGTGTGAAGACTTCCTGTTGGAACACATGAACACAGACAACGCCATAGGGATCTACAAGATCGCCAAGTACCTGCACTGTCGCTCCCTTGAGAGTCACACGTGGTCCTTCCTGCTCAAAAACTTCCACTTCCTGTACACATCAAGTAACGAGTTCCTACAGTTGACGCCTGATGAGCTGGTCCAGGTACACACGTAGACGGGAGGTTATTTTTAGGCCACTTCAAGGGATGGGGGGGGGGGGGAGAGGGGGTGACGACTACCTATGGACGAAATAGAAAAGAAAATTGTAGAAAATATATGCTTTAAAAGGTGTGTCTCCCTTCCCCACGAGAAAAAATGTCTGAAAGAAACCCAGTGGCGGATTAATGGGGGCAGTGACTAGGTGCCTCAGAATGTTGTGGTTCTCAATCTGTCACAGTTATAACCAGATAAAACTATCAACGAAATCCTGGGTATTTTTCAGCTTCAACTCTCCATGTTGTCTTAGCCTGTCTTATTCACATGTCCCAACACGCTGATTTCTTGTGTCTGTAACTAAAATTCTGTGTCTCAAGTTTTGTCTCAAACTCTGTGTCTCAACTGTTGTCATAAGTTTGTCTCAAGCTCTTTGATAGTAATTTCAATTTTGTAATTACGGCACTCACCCAATGAAAGAACCAGTAGTTCGTCCATCTGCCAGTGTTTCTTTCAAACTTTTTTCTCCCGGGGGGGGGGGGGAGGGGAGGGAGGAGGGGGGAAGAGGATACTGGTAAAAGTATATATTTTCTATAAGAATTTTACATCGTTGGGGGGGGGGGGGGGGCGACACACACCCCCTCCCCGAAGAGATGCCTGAAAGAAACTCTGCCTTTTATTTGCAGTCAGAGACGGTCTTGCATACGTTGATCATGTCTCAGGTGTCGTGATTCTCCCCCCCCCCCCCCCCGGGATTGACGGTCTCTCCCCTCCCCTATACAATGTAAACGTCGCATCTATGTGTCCACCACACACATAACTATCCTATTTTTACAAGCTTTTATTTAAATATAAACTTCTAAATTACAAATCCAATTTTTGTAAAGGGATGTCATTTCTCAACAACCAGATACTGCGAGCAGACGATTTAATTATAGATTCCGAGGACTACGCATGTGCAGCCGTGGTGAAGTGGGTTTACTTCCTACCGGATGTGAGGTCAGCTTATCTCCCTCAGCTGTTGACGTCTGTTCGGCTGGGTTTGGTCTCCAGGGCAACCTACGACGCGCTCATGCAGAAGTTCAGCTCGTTGCCAACAGATTCTGAGTCCATGTGCATTTTACAGAAAGGTAGCGGCGACAATTGGTTTTGTTTTGTAAAATCTTCACTCTCACAGACCTTTAAAATAGATTACAGTAGTTACTGTTAATTTGTGTGTTGGGGGGGGGGGGGGGGGGGTGAAATACGTTTGTTAGTTTTAGTGAAGATCGAGGGGGATCGATTAATTAGCTTAACGTCATTGACTACCGCTAAGGTGATGCCAAGGTTTAAGAAGTCAGGGTAAGATATATGTGTTGACAATAGATAGAATTTCTATTAGGTAGTTTTTAACCATTAGAAGCCAATATGATAACACAACTTATCCAGCGATTCTGACTTTGAAGTCGGGTGCGTATGGAGAATTATCCAGCTAAGTACAAGAAAATGAAGTCGATCTATTTTACCACTAGATCTAGTTGAAACTTTACTTAACCAATAATAATTTAAAAAAAAAACAGCAACTTTTTTATTAAAATATACTTTGACTAGTGCCCTCTTCCCCCCCCCCCCCCAAACCGACCTAAAGTTTCAAGCGCCATCCCCCCTTCCCCCCAATGTCTGAAAGAAACACAAAAGGTGACCACATAAAACAGTTTGATCAATGGCCATCTCAGCTTTAACCACACAGTAGATTACGTTTATTTTGACAACTTTTAAATAATGTTAGTACTTACATGTATTTAATTAATGATTGTCAACATTAACTACACGCGACCAAAACGTAGCATTACAGATTTAAAAAAACACAAAACGTCTGTATGTCTTTAGGTTATGAGCTGTGTAGAGGCGCGGACGACACAATTCTTCGGCCGCAACTGTGCCAGTCGCTAGGCAACCCTATGCTTCGACCTCGAGTTCCGAACGAAGTTATATTTGTCCTGGGTGGATGGTCGAGGGACGGGGTGTGTGCGGACATGGAGACATACGACAACAGAGTGGACAAATGGTAAACTCATTCATGGTAACTTTCCATTTGACTATCTACCGGTCATTTAGTCAGACTCGCTCTATGGAACACGAAATAACTCACACCTGATTATTCTACAACTTTTCTGCTATATTTTCAACGTCATACTATTATAGATCAAAATAAAGCAGAAAAGTTAAAATCATACTCGGCCGACCTGTTTATCATGGAGTTGATGAGAAAAGGGGGGGGGGGGGGTATCGTTCATTTATATCTCGGCATAGGAACAGAACGTAATGTATATTTTCCAAAAGTCCACCCAGTTGTATTCACAACAAACGTCCACGAAAAATATTACTTTCTGTCTAGTCGCAGGATATAGATCTATATTGTTTGATGCTGAGGTATTTGAACTGATAAATCTGCAACTTTTTGCTACACAAGGAGGTTGTTTGGCGTTACTTTCTCAAAAAATATTTCCTACTCTTAATTATTTTTAAAAAAGCCAACCAAAGTCACCATACTAATTAAACATTTTTTCCTTCTTGTCGAAGTTAAAATTCATCAAATATGTAAAATTGGAAACTGCTTTACCGAGTGTTGGTTGAAACTTTTCAGACAGTAACTGTTGTATTTAGAGATTGATACGACTTTACCCTGTTATACTATACGTCTAGGTTAATGCTGTATCCAAATGTTAGGGTTAGAGTTGGTTATACGGATTAGTATCGGACACCGGCTACTTAGATGCACGGACCTAACCAAACCACACTCACTGCAGTTATTTAACAAAAAATGTTGCAAACCTTCTGAAGCATAAAGGCGTAAAAAAATAATCCACCTAATAAATGGTTCTTGCAATAGTACATTCTGCTGAGTTAGAAAAGTGTACCAATGTATTAAAAGTTTGAACCAGTACTGAACCAATCAACTTTATAGTAAGTCATTCTGCTCACGAAATTTGATAACAGTAAGTTGAGAGTGGAGAAGGCATGGTCTAGTAATTGCTAACCCGAAAGTTTCGAGTTCGGATCCTGGACCCGAAAATATAGATCGTCCCCCAAACAGAACTGCGACAGAAATTAAATTGAGAATCAGAAGAAAAAAAATGCGAGTCCCTTTCATCAAACTCATTTGATCTTCCCCAGAGGTATTTGTGACATCCCATATTTCTGTTATTGTATGAAGCATAAGACTAAGGGAATAATAACCCCGCTATATCTGAATTAGAACTATGCGGGCAGTACTGGTGAATTGAACACATGGTCTCTTTAAGTCATTGGGCTCTGGTGGGTGGGAGGCGACGATAAGTCGTTATATTTTTTTTTATATTTTGTCTGGGAGAGATCCATGAAAGAAACACTAAGTTAACTGAAGTCACCGTAGCTAAGCTGGGGGCCTATAAACAGAAGGAGTAGAAGAACGTAAGCATCTGAGACAAAAGGTTAAAGTGGACTGAAATCATAACAGAACGTGTTGCTTCCCTTGCCTGCGATTTAGACTGCAATATAATAATACAGCATATTACCTTATCTTAAACTTTATCTTAGTGATATTAATACAAATCAATTTATGGAAACGAATTATAGATAAACTATGCTTTTAATTTACATGTTACGCTTCCATTCGCTGCTTTTCTACATCATTACAAAATACAGAACGTAGACATACTATTCAATGCGCAAAATTCAGTTATCATACCTAAATCATCGTTGGCTGCACTAGATAGTAGTGTAGTGGACTGCCTTTAATTATTTTATTACAGTCCTTAAATTTTCTAGGTACGAGAATGAAAGTGAATCTTACGAGCACAGCCTCGCGTACCATGCGATGGTGGCTGTGGACAAAGCCCTGTACGTCATTGGGGGCTATACGACGGTGAAATATCTCAATTCTGCCAAAAGATTTGAGCCTTTAACAAAAACCTGGTCGGAGGTCAGTTTTAATTTCTACAGTTTTTTTTCCAAGATCAAAAGAATCCAAATTTTTCAATTAATGGTGGGTTTGCCAGAAATGTCCGAAAGTCTTTTGCTTAAATGGCGTTTTTTTTTCCCGAAATGGGAGATTGTCCGAAATCAAAATGCCTGAATGGACCGTTGCCCGAAAAAAAAAATTGCCATAATTTATTTCAATAGTATAATCTAGACTAGATACATACTAATCACTAGTCTAAAAAAGTAAAAAACGAAGTAGATCTAGATTCTAATATTTTTTAATAACATTTACACATAGATTTTGACTTTTTTTACCGGACTATTAACCATTCGGGAAAATATCTTTCGGGCAAATATTTAAAAACATCGGTTAAAAATTACGAAAGGGTTGATTATGAGAGACATTTTTCTTTTAAAAAAGCATCAATATGTGCGGTGTTTAAATTTGAGAAACAAATTAACTTTGCAGAAGATGTAACAGTAATCGATATCGGTATTTAGATATCCAGATCTAAATAGTTTTAAAATACTTATTAGTACATTTATTTAGTCACCTTAAATGTATAAATTCCTATTCATTTTATAGTCTTTCTAGATCTAGATCTATCTACTTCAATATCTTTTGAATGTAGATACAGATAGATCTATCTAGTCTACATCTTATACTTTTATGCCAAGTTTAGATTGCTCCGATGCACAGTAGTCGATGCTACGTGTGTGCTGCTGAACTGGGTGGTCTAATTTACGCTTGTGGTGGATTTGACGGCACAAACCGACATAGCTCTGTTGAACGTTACTGTCCGGTTAAGAATCAGTGGCAACTGGTTTGTGACATGTCCAGTGTCCGAAGCGATGCAGGTGCATGTGGAGTAGATGGTACGTTACTTAATGTAAATAATTTATCACATAGTTTAGAGCCAACAAGGTAGACTAGTTATCTATTTTTAGTATTTAATCGTTTTAATTTTACTTTTATTATAAAATGTGTGTGTCACTGTGTGACCAAGTGTGTCTATTTCAATTTCACATTAATTAATTAAATTAGAGTTAGTTAGTATAATCATTAATCATGATGTATTTCAGATGTATGAATATTGCTTTTTATAGATCTATGTGGCATAAACATAAGTCGGATCATTGACCATAGAAAAAAAAATTAAATTGACAATGTGCCCTATACACTACAACTAATAAGAAATAAGATAACCCACATGTAGCATGACTGAAGTCAAAGCACTTCCAATAAAACATTTATTTAACTGAGTCATAACTCATAACTGGACTAGTGCTAGGTTAACCATATGGTTAAATAAAAATGTATAAAATATATATAAATAATATATGTAAGATTCAATCAGTAGTTTAATTACTAATTATTATATTAGCTGAGTCAAGAAAACTAAAGGGCCTATTTTTACTATGATTGCCTAACATAATAAAAATACACTTATGTTGAACTTGTCAGGAAAATTGTATGTGGCTGGTGGTTTTAGTGGCACAGAATGCCTGAACACAGCAGAATGTTATGACCCATCATCCAACCAGTGGACCAACCTCACACCCATGAGTTGTCAGAGAAGTGGTGTCACAGTAGTAGCCTTCCAACATGCAATCTATGCCATTGGTGGTTTCAACGGGTCGGTCAGGTTAGATGAAGGTTTGTTTATTAAAATAAATGGGTCAGTTACATTTGGTTAATTGCAAAAACTTAATAATTAGATGTAGATCTAGTAATTCAGGTCAGTCAGCTGTTTGTAGATGTGTTAATTGAAATTTTTTAATACATTCTTTGGATAATAATTTTTTTCATTGCTTTTAATTTTTATTTTAGTTGAAAAATACTATCCAGATAGAGGAGGTTGGTTTCCTGTAAAAGAGATGCTAAAAGGGCGAAGTAACTTTGCTGCTGCAGTGATAGAGAACAAAATTTATGTTGTTGGTGGTTATGATGGTAAGTAACCATTTTAAAAACAAATTTAAAGTGAGAAAAAAAGTTAAAATTGTTCCATAAAGTTTTATAACTTTTACTCAGAATGATTGTCTGGAAAACTATTTTTTTAAACTGCAGGATCTGGCACAACTGGTCATGTTGAATTTTATGAAAGTGACAAAGATGAATGGACAGAAGCAGACAGTTTGAGAGTGGGGCGCAGTGCTGCAAGTGCATGTACCATCAAAGGCTTAGACAACATACAAGAATACACATTTTATGGAAAAGAGGCAACACTTGTAGCGCAGACTGACAGTTTTGATTGGCAGGTAATTTAGGCCTGTGAGATTTTTTTTTATTTAAAAAAATTTCAGCTATGGGCACACCAATGGCATGTTTAAGTTCTTGGTTAAATTAAACTAAGCAAGTTAAAACAGTTAAAACTGTCACTTAAGTGTTTTACTTTGTGAGATTATTTTTACTCAATTGCTCTATTTTTATAATTATATCTAAGGTCTACAATTAAATTTGTTTTGTATAGCAGTAGTAAAAAAATTTTTATACTGCCTATAATGTAGAAACTTTCCTTCTTTAGATTTCACCCTATATTTGTGCACCCCTCCAAGCAAGGAGTTGGAGTATGAACACAAGGTCAAGGAATAAAAGGCCGTCATAGTACATGAGTGCCAGTAGGTTTTCTACCACATCTTATATCTGATGATTAACTGATTCATTTAGTAATATAAAAAGTGAAAAATCCTACTTAAAATGATGTGTACTAACATTGTATATTATAAAGAGTGAAGCACTTAATTAAACTGGTAGACTTGTGTAAAAGAGTAGTACCACAAGGATTAACAAATTATGTTTAAAAATGACAAACATTATGCATGTTGCTAAGAAAAACCATTGAACATAATGGAATTATTATTTTTAATAAATACTGTAATCTATTTTAGATTAAAGCTACTTTATTATTGCTATTCAAGCAATTTAAGCTTTGTAGCTTATATTAATTAAGGGAGTGGGGTATTGCGTTCACTTAAATGAAGTGTCTTATATTGACATGAATTCATGGCTTCCAGTTGAAAATTTTATTTAAATGCTTTTGAAGATTGAATGCAAGTGTGAGACAAATGTTTGAATGATTCAAAGAGTGTTTGTTTCAAATGTTTTTTTTCAATTAACATTTTTATGCAATTCAATTTTCATTTATATAAACCCTTGACTATTTATGACATTGAAGGGATAGAAATATTTGTCAATAAATTATCTATATTTGTAAATGGTAAATAAAGTGCAATTATGTAAATGATAAATATATATTTTACATGAGAAACTGCTTCACATGAAAGAAATGTCTTAAAGTTTGTTCTTTTACAGAGAAGTGCTTTCTTTCTATTTTTACTCTTACAATATAAAAAAAATATTACAGAAAAATTAAAGTTGTTTACACTGAAAAGAAGGGATTGATGAGATATTCCATAGACTATATACATGATTGCTTAGACCAGACTGACAGATAGAGACATCAAGTTTACAGTCATTATTTATGTTTTTTGCAAGAGCTTATTGAAAAAGTCATCAGTACTCATGAAAAGTTTTGCTCTCATCATCTGATTTGGTTGTAAGAAATTTACATGTATGTATTAGTTTAATAAAACATGATTTGATAGATGATCTTTTATCAAATGAACAACACTAAATTTGTAAGCAAAAAATAAACATGAACAAAGAATTATATTTTTCATGTCACTTTATTTCAGCATGTAAGATACATATGGAGACAGGAACATAATTTGATAATTATACAGAAAATAAATTATTAATTTATTGGTTGCAAATTAATGAAACACACTGAAGGCACATTTTTAGGGAAGATTATTGTAAGACAGATTTAAAAAGTATCATTCACAAGAGAACAAATCTTCATTTGAGCAATTTTTCTTTCTTAGATAAAAATTTATTTAGCTTCATCTTTCATTCTAAGAAATGATTAATATTTCCTTCTTTGAATTGTTAACTTAATATTTCATTTTAAGAATATTAGCGTACACATTTCAGTCATAGAAATACTAGTGTAATATTAATAACATTTCATTGAAGGAAATATTAGATGGAAAACTAAATGAAGAATGAACTGTTTTGATGAAAAATGCTTTAATTGACTAAATATAAACTTACAAAAAGGTTCAAAGCTCATAGAAGTAAAAAAAAAAGCTTTTGTTTCTTCTAAATGACATTTTAAAAGCCTGTCTGCAACATAAATATCACCACAGTGCATTGTAAACAAAATTAAAATATACATTAGCCTTGAGAAATGTACACATATACAAGTTACCCCAACATAGGCTGGGATATACAGGGAACACAAATGTTAACATTATGTTTTTCAAACAAAAGCAAGTTCACTTTGATAAGAGCAAAAGCAACAAATAGAAGGTACTACAAAACAAGAGCTTATGAAATTTATTCAAACACTTTGATTTGAAATTCAATACTGATTCTTTGACCAACTTAACAATTTTCACAACTCAATTGCAATGAGAAGCAGGTATAATTGACAAACAGTATTTTAAAAAAAAACTGTATTTACAAACATTTATTAAGTATATTCAGACATTTATTCTACAGTTGTAATTTGTCATAACACATGGTTAACTTACACAGAATAAATGAATACACAATAGCACAAATGCTGAAGTTGAAAAAGTTTGATTGTATGCTCAGAACTGCTAGAGAAACAGTAAACATTGAGAAGAAAAACATGACAAAAAAGTGGCTCAGAGCAAATTACATTGGAGGTTATACAAATATATAGAGAGGTTTGATAATAAATTGTTAACTGTAATTATTACACTAAATAACTAAAACCTATTGACACCTTCCAAATTGTGATTAATTACATTATAACAATCAATGATAATATAACATTAAAACTATGTATTATTTTGTTAGAGTTAAGAAATAACTAAAATATAACATTTATTTTCTAAAACTTGTAACATTTTTAATATTCCTGATACCTGACTAGTAAAATATATGTGTAACAAGTGACTATTTAGTTGTAAACAAAACTGACTAGATTTTTATTTTCTACGCAAAAAAAAGTTAATTAATAGTGGAGGATACACATCTATAATGATAACAATTAATAATTAACTATAAACTATAAACCAATAATAAGATTAAGTTTCATCCTCCTACACTTAAATAATACATATGTAAGCTGTATGTATTTAGTTGTATAGGATGAAAGAGAAATCACAAAAATAGATATTGATCCAAATTAGCTACTTTCTTTGAATTATCTCAAATTACAACATACTAAATAAACTAAAAATAAATTCCAAGTTTGTTTCTATGGCATTTAGAACTAAAAAAAACAATTTACAATGTTAAAGCCTTGTAGTTCAGGATTGATTTGATTCTGTTCTCAAGGGGGAAAAATATGCAAATTCTTTACAGATTGAATACATAATCACATATGAATGCTGTTCTGAATTAAGTCCCCTTTAAAAAATGGGGTTTTAATATAATAAATTGTTTACCATTGCAAATATACATAGCTACACTTGCATATTATGTATAATCAATAATTTAAAGAATAAAATTATATTCAGACACCAGTTTTTAAATATGGGGGAAGAGATACATAGTTAAAGTATGCACATTTTAAAGTAACTGTACCCCATATGCCTATATGGTTTTATTGCACAATTAACATTTAGTTATGACTGCAATAATTCAAATAGAAAATATTTACAACTGAGTACATTTTAAACTGACACTGATGAAACTGAAATTGGTGCTGACATATTGGTGTTTGTAATGAAAAGTAACCTGGATTTTTGTTTTAAAAAAAATGTTTTAGATCTATTTCTATAGCTTAGATTACTTATTTTAAAAAAAAATCTAACATTCAAATTTTATGAAATAGTCACAAAACTTATATGATTTTAAAATGGACATATAGAGAAAAAAATTTTTTATTAGTAATAGGATTAATAATTACAAATCCTAACAAACAGTATAATTTTTTTTCTTATCTTTTGGGTGTACTTTATTAGTAACATTAGCTCTAAACAAAAAGTAGCAACAATTACACTCAAATAGACTTCTTCTAATTAACAGTTAATTCAAACACATCATAACACCAGCTTATATTCAACACAGAATGACACACCAAGATACAGAGAAAGAAATACAGCTCCTTGACAAAGTCATCACAAATTCAATGTTGGAAGTCTCCATTTAGTCTTGAACCACTGGGATAGGCCATTACATCCAGAAAAGTATCGCCACAATTTCATTGCACTTCCAAAAATATCTCCACCATCATTTAGCACTTAAATGCCTTAATACTAATTGTTTCTTCAATGATTATTAAAATTATACAACAATTTATTGTACAGATAAGAGCAATTGTACATACAATTTAATATTTGAAGAATTGGGTTTTAAATTCCAAACAACTTTGAAAATTTGTAATTTGTTTTTAAAAAAAAAAGTAATTTCAGGTCATCCTGATTGTTGAGTATTTCAAAATATTGGCGTCTTTCAGAGAGACAGCAAGCTGGTACTAATATTACACTTCAGCCTTCAATGAATGCACTAATCTCTATTGCACGACACACTGCTTATTCTTTTGTCTATGCCTGCGTCCCCTTGATTGTAAGGCAGATTGGTTCCCTACTGTTCCGCCAATGCCCATGTCATCCACATAGGAGATTTTGTTGGCGTTCCTGGCATAGAAGTGGTAGTTGTAGTCAAAGTCGTCTGAACTACTTGAGCTGGAGCAGGTGCTGCATCTGTCGTCGTCAAAGTTGCCGTACATGAAGCGGTCAGCCGCTGAGCTGTCCAGTACGACAGGGCGAGGCTGACGGTGCCCGCGTGACTGATGGTGGTTGGAGTTGTTGTTGTGAGAGTTTGTTGTGTTTTGGTTGATGGACCTGCTCATGCTGGAGGAGGTGCTTGGTTGCTGTGTAGGCGCGCTGCCAGGACGGCCTTCAAAACTTTGGCTGCGAGGGCAACCGTTAGGTCGAGGACTGCGTGGTTCTCTGCTAGGCGGGGTTCTGGTTTGACTACTTGGGGGTCGAGAGATGGGGTTCATTTTCAAAGAGTCTGGTAACGGGATCCCTGAGGCATTTCTAGGGTGAGGTGGAGGTCTATTCAGTTGTGGGAGGGGGTCCCGTTTTTCAATTAATCTGGTGTTGGGTAGCTCAGGGTAGGATCTGACAGAAGACGGCTGGGCTTGGCGGTACACTGGAAACATATTAGAGGGGGGCACCCCGTTCTGGGGGAAGCCAGAGTAGCATGGGTCCATGTTCTGGTTGACATGGTGGTGGTGGTGGTGGTGCAGGTGGTTTTTACCATTGCTCTGGTGCATCATCATGACCGCTGCAGGCGACATCATGGTGTTAGGGTCATCTGCAGGGTGGTGGTGTGGCACGCTGACCGAGGCGTAATGCACACTTATATTTCTATCAGACTCCGGCTGGCTTGGATCCTCACTGCCAGGTGAAACTGGGTCACTCCTGGTTTCTGACTGGGGTGTTACCGAGTTATGAGAAGAAGGTTGCCCCCCTTGGCTAAGGTCTGGCATAGAGAACTGTGAGAGTCTGTTTCTACGTTTGGCTTCTTGTAGAGGGAGAGCATCCACCAGGCCGTCTATATTCAGAGTGTAAATGGGCTCCACCTCTTCTTCATCAACCTGCCCAGCATGCACTTCAAACATGCCTGGTGCGTAGACCTCGCTGTTGCTGCTGGTGGCGTAGCCCTGGTCCCTGTCTGACGAGGGGAGGCTGTCTGGGAGGGTGTACTGCTGCCGTAGCACCTCCTGTATCCCAGCTCGGCCTTCCTGCATGACATGACTCACAGGCGAGCTGACCCTGGCTTCTTGCATGTTGACCAAGTAATCTTCCGGCCTGCGCGGGGTCTGTGTGGTCATTGATCCCGCCCTGCTGCACGCGGCCGAGCAGTAAATGACCCCATGTTTGGGCAGGAAAGGTCGGCCGAGTAGACTCGTCTGACAAGTGTGACACCTGAAACACATCTCCGACGCATGCCAGTGTTGGCCGTCATGCGTCATTTGACCCTGGTCAACGCCGATGTGCTCACCACAGGTGTCACAGTATTCAGCAAACATATTCTCATAGCAGGAGCAGCAGTAGGGGCGACCGTCACGCATGATGTAACGCTGGCCACCAAGCTGTCTGTCACATTCTAAACAACAGAAGTGCTTCATGTGCCAACTGCTTCCCTCAGCTTCTGTGCATTCATCAGCAAAAATAATCTAGAAGGAAAAAAATTTGAAAATTACCAAAACTTCATGTTTTAATAACTCTAATGAATGTATTGTGATCTGGATCTACAGAGAATACAAAATAAAAAACCAATTACAAAAGACATATTAGCTCAATGTAAAATTGAAAGATATAAACAAATTTTTTAACATACATATGATTGTTTTTTCACATCAATTTTAATTTAATTAATTAGTTTAATTTAATTAATTGATTTTAATTTGTATATATGAATGCAATGCTAAAGTACATGCAGATTATATAAAAACACTAAAGAGAAGGAAAATTTACCAGGTGCAACTATAAAAATCTGAATAAGGAACAAGAATTTAATGGTACAAATTACCATAAGTAAAAACAAAAAAAATGAATTATGTCCCTTGGGCTAAAAAAAACCATTACTGGAAAGCTAGTTACATTTCTGGCAGCACGTAAAACCCGATCGGTTTCCCTACTGAATGTCTTTTTTTTCCCTTCCTCTGCCACTTGATGGTAAACAATTCCACATCCATCAACTTTGACAGTGAAGAATCGAAAGACAAACATTTATTTACTCTTGGTTTTTTTTTTATACTCAAAACCACGTTTTTAAGCTACAGAAATCGTGCTACTTCTTTACTCTGAAGAGTGTATTGATGATGAGTACAAAATACAGTGGTACCTCGGGATACGAATTTAATTAGTTCCGTAATGATGCTCGTATGTCAAATTGTTCGTATCTCAAAGCAATGTTCCCCAATGAAGTTTTGTTGAATAAAATGCTATTATCCGTTACGTATTTTTAATAAGAAAAATTTATTTATTTAAGGGGGACGTCCATAAATGACGTCACACTCGTAGGGGGAGGGAGGGTTCGTAATTTTGTGATGGTGTGTGATGGGGCAGGGGGGGGGGGGCTTCAGGTGGTGTGACGTCACACTTTTGCATATAAAGTGTACATTCATTGGAAACTTGCCGACTTAAGGTTACTGAAGATGTTGATGGAGGTGTAGGGTGGAAGCGATATGCGGAGCAGTCCATCTACTCTCTACACTGTTAATGCTCAACTCTTTTGGTCACTTTAATTCACCTACCCGTTACACAATTAATGCTACATTCTATCCCTAAACTTAATGGAACTTAACTCAAATTCACTGAACATATTTGAACTAAAAAGCTACTTCATAAAAATTTATTATTATTTTCACTAAATTTTCGTGCATTGCTCCTTACTAGTCCTAACCTTTGTCTCTTTGTTTTACTCACCTTTAAAACAAAACCTGTTACGGAGGTTCAGTGGCGTAGCGAGGTCGGGTATCACCCGGTGCGGCACTTAATGGTGTCACTCACCCCGCAGAGGCGTAGTGACCCTTCCCGGGGACAAACTTTCAACTTTCGATTTGCCTTGGTGTCACCCCCCCTAAATGGTGTCACCCGGTGCGGTCCGCACCCCCCCCCCCCCCGCTACGCCTCTGCGGAGGTTTATTTCTTACCAGATATTCAGATAAGTTTGGATACGAGTTAGACAAGCGTCTTTACTTAGCTGCAACGCACAATCAGTTGCAACTTTTTCATGGTGTTCTGTATCAATAACTGTGAACCCCGCTGATACGACTCCACGTATCTCAAAGCAAACAAATCGCCCGCTCGTATCTAAAAAAAAATCTCGTATGTTGGGGCAAGCGTATATCGAGGTAACACTGTAAGTTAATTAATCACTACGAAAATCGCAACGACTATGTGCGTATCGATACTAGGCAGAATATAATTTCCCACTACAAAAATCGCAGGGACACAGAGTATATCAATGAAAGAGTGAGTATCGATGCTGGGTGGAACTTATCTTACCACTAAAAAATCGCAGCGACAGAGTGAGTATCGATGAAAGAATGAGTATCGATGCTGGGTGGAACTTATTTTACCGCTAAAAAATCGCAGCGACAGAGTATCGATGAAAGAGTGAGTATCGATGCTGGCTGGAACTTATTTACCACTAAAAAAATCGCAGCGACAGAGCGAGTATCGATGAAAGAGTGAGTATCGATGCTGGGTGTAACTTACTTCATCACAAGCGGCACACCTGGGCTTGAGCAGCTCGGCGTGATGACGTCCACAGTAGAGCTGACCCTCGTGGTAGAAGTAGATCAGGTCAACCAGCAGCTCGTGGCAGGTGGAGCAGACAAAACAGGCCGGGTGCCAGCACGACTCGCCCTCCATCCGTGAGGCGAACACGCCCATGTCTCCCGGGCTCACATCCTGGGAACACTGCAGAACGGGGGGAAGGGGGGGGGGGGGTGAAATAAAGTTAATATACAAATATTAAGTCATGTAATGGTATCTTTTCGGTTAGCCGTACCAACACAAATTTGACTGTAAAAACAAAATTTTATTCAGGTTTCGAAGTAGCCAAGTGGTGGTACGTCTACTCCAAATGGATCCATAAAATAATACATTAGCAATTATTTAAAAAGAAAAAAAAATCAAATTATTCAAAATACTACGTGATTTTCCACACAAACTAGCCCCCATGCAACGAGAAATAATTTGTGCTTTTAGAAACATTGCAATATAAAAGTCGGGTTAGGGATCAGGATAAGTTTATTGTTTAGGCCTATAAATACAGTCGTCCCCCCCCCCCCCAACCCCACGAAACACGTCTACGCCCCCCCCCCCCCCAAGGAATAGAATTGATTTGGAGAATATATACTTTTACCAGTGTCCGCCATTACACCCCCCCCCACCCCGAGAAAAAAATAAGTCTGAAAGAAACACTGTATAGATACAAGCTGAACCATAGCTCCGACACGCCATGTCGGCGGTCATGGCAGTCCATAAGAGTTATGCTGACTGACGCGTCGTAGAATGGAAGTGTTACTCCACGTACCGGGGGGTCGGTGAGGCGCATTCACCACCAAGTCCATCTCACCTAGCAGAACTAAGCGAAATAAACAGCCGGGCGGAGCAGGCTGTTGTTGGAAGGTTGGGATAACCAAGACGACACACAGACAATTGAATTACAACTCGTCAAGAGAGTAGATGGAATAACCATCCCGAGTACACGCCTAGAAATAGTTTCGGGACTTCCCAATTTCATCTATCCTGCCATGCGTCATGGTGAATACATGCAACAAGGATTTATAGCCATTTAGAAGGGGGAGAAAAAAAAAAGAGAATTTAGCCCAAACGAGAAAAACGAATGTTCAAAGAATCGAGTAAAAATACCACTCATCGCTGTAAGTACGTGAGGTAAAAACAACAACATACATTGTGTACGTCACAAAAATCTCCATACAACTCGAGTACAACAACTAGGGGGTTCCTTTCAGCTATTTATACGGGGACGTTACTTTCTGCCCTCTCTTCTCTACTAATTAGACGTTATTAATCAATTTCTCCCTAATGGCCTCTGGAGACGGTGTGAATTTTTTATTTACAAACTTTATTCACATAGACAGTAAACACAAGCTAAACAATGTATACTTTTCTAAATATACTCAAGCTAAATAATGCATACTTTTATATGGGTAGGAGAAAGGTAGTGAGGGGAGGGGGATAAAATGCATTTCTACGAGTAAGAAGGGTGTGTTTGGATGTAGGGAAGAAAGGGGAGGTGGTGGGGGTATAATTAGGACTAATGAGCTTGGTCTGTGGGCTCCGGGTTATTATACAAGATATGCAGCGTCGCTTTGATAGCGCCATCTTGTGGCTTTTATCTTGTTGGGTGTCTCCGGGCTAGACGCCATGGCCGAAATAAAACATTTATAAAAACATTTTATAGCAGCAAGCTTGATCGTCAAACTGTACTAAAAGATGTAACATCCACAGCGCCCAAAGCTTTCACAATTTGTTATTTAGTAGCATACTATTATGGTTAGGGAGTTTCTTTCTCTTCTCTCTTATAGAGTCCTTTCATATGACGTCACGTCCGTTCGTGATACCTACGCCCGCCGCCACAGTGGTGTACACCAGACGTAAACACAATCAGCTGTTCGCCAGCGCTGGACGTGTTCACCAACGCTGGACGTGTTCACCGTATGTAAAGAATCGCGCCCGCGGAAAAGGAAAAATACGTTAAAAAACTTGAACTCTTAGGAATTGAAGATCCTTATACTGTTATTGACAGTTTCGTAGATAATATAAATATGTGGACAAAATTTCTAAATAAAAATAAATAAAAATAGTGTTAGTAATACTGTTTGCGTTTAGAGTTAAAGTAGCCGAATCTGATCAAATGCAGTTCTCGATACTTTGTTTCAGGTAAAATAATAAACTTCATACATTTTAATTATAAAAGATAACTATTAATAAAACAAATATGCTCGACCTTCACAAATACTAATAGTAAAAGACAAAGTCAAAAGTAATAATAAGAATAATAAGATCTAATAGTAGGCCTAATACCTGGCTCCGCTGGGTAGATTCTAGAATCTACTTCTTTACTTAAATTTAATTACTTTAGATCTACATTCGATTCAAAATACACCCATAATAAATCAAAAGTAGTCATAATAGACCTAATAAAGCATTTAATTGTCTCTAAGATCTAAAATCTCGCTCTATAATCTAATCATTTTTTTAGCAAACGAAATTTTCTGAAATTGAAATAGATTGTATGACTAGACTTAGATCTAGAATCTGCTACTTAAATTAAATTGTAAAAACTTTATACAAGCATGTAGTTGATATTATTGTAGTAGAAGGCTTTAATAAATTACTAAGGCCTACCTACTTTGTTGTCTTTTTACAGCAATATGTATCTGATATTGGACTGAGTTTAATTAAATTCAAATTCATATCTAGTAATTGGTCTACTAAGTTTTTGTAGCCTAGTAGTACAATCTAGATCATACCAGCCAACAACAAATAACCACATTATTATTATTTGGTTAATGATTAGGCTAATTTTTTTTTTAAATCCACTGTTTATAAAAGAAACAAATCAAGCTAGAAACATTTTAAGTGAGATGGTTTAGAATAATAACAATGGACCCAGTCTACAATTGATACAATTGCAGGTCTACATAGGGCCTACAGTCTAGTAGTTTACAGTAGGCACCTAGTGTGTAGCTAGTATACTAGTGTGTAGCTGTCCAGAGTTAAGATTCTTAATGCCTTAATGCTTTCCCCTGATAAGCCATGTGTGCTATAAATGACATAACATGACATCGAGGTGAGAAATGTTGATGGGAGAGCAGTGGGACTTTCCCCTTTGTTCTCCCTGCTGGGCCCTGAGGGTCAAATTATATAAGAAATACTATCTCTGTGGGGCTGGGTATCGATTGTATCACGGAGGTGAGACATTTTCAGGGGAGGGCAGGGCAGACTCCTCTTTGGTTTTATTGTGGGCTAGATACAGGTGGCGGCTGGCCATAATGAGGGTTGAACGTCAGTATTAATGTGTCTGATTACTTCCCTGCTGGATTATAAGGGTCTTAAATTGTATAACATGCTACCCAGATTGGTTATTACCCATGGATTATATTAGCCGTTGTAGTGTGGGTTTTGTAGGAGTTAAGTGGTCTCACGTTTGCTACAGTAGATAACCTATAATATATTACTGCATTTAATCAGCTTCGTCTACTTAAACTCTAAACGCAAACGGTATTACTAACAGTATTTTTATTTAGAAATTTCGGCCACATATTTATATTATCCACGAAACTGTCAATAACTGTATAAGGATCTTCAATTCCTAAGAGTTCAAGTTTTTTAACATATTTTTCCTTTTCCGCGGGCGCGGTTCTTTACATACGGTGAACACGTCCAGTGCCCAGCACTGGTGAACACGTCCAGCGCTGGCGAACAGCTGATTGTGTTTACGTCTGATGTACACCACTGTGGCGGCGGGCGTAGGTATCACGTGATTTAGGTCACGTGTTTGCAAGGACTCTATTGCCTCAGAGGCGTGTTAAGTTTGAGACACGTTCGCATTTGGAGTGATAAACTGGGAGGGCAAGTTGACCTTAATTACCTAACTCGTGAAACTAATGATTGGAAGCATCGGGAACTAAAATACACAAGTATCTGATCATAAAAATATTAATAGCGGAATTCATGAAAAAAAAAATTACCAAGCACTCAGATATAAAACTGTAATTTAAAATAAATACACATACACATAAAAAAAAACAACCAACAAGTACTCTTAACAAATGATAAAACTATTGTACAAATAGCTTTGAACATCTGTTTGGCTATACTTCAACTGATTAAGCTATTGTACAAATAGCTTTGAACTGTTTAATCACACTGCTACCACCATACGAGTGTTGAGCTATCAACATCTTAACAGTCAGGGTCGTATCAAACTTTTTTTTTACAAGTAGAATGATACGGTAGGCATCATTTTGTAACTAGGTCGCCCCAATTAGCACCTGCACTTGGACGTTTTAATTAACACCTGCTCCAATATACACATTGAACCTGGAGCTTCACGGCAGACAAACAAAGAGAGAAGGGGGGGGGTAGAGAAATAGTTTAAATGTTTCATGCACAGACATGTTTATTGAATAAACAAAGGTCTAATCCTTTTAAAAAAATGTTTTTAAAAAACTTAAGATTTAATTATGTTGGATACATGTTATCAAGTGTATGTTGTTGCTTTTTAAATATACACATACCATTCTGTATATAGTTTAAATATAGGCTACTCGCGAAAGGTACGAATTTTCGAAAGGTACGAATTTTCGCTACAAATGCTATGGCTAAATTATTTTCACTCTAAACTTTTTTAAAGCAGATAAAAGGATATGTTTTTCATTAAAAAAAACTACAGAATGAACCAGTTGAATGAATTTATTTTTAAACAGTTACGCCAGACATCAAGAATGTTAATGAATTCAAAATTGTAAATTAGGTCATGTTTTGTTTGTGCAGGTGACAAACCATTCACAAATTTCATTGAGACATTTTTTTTTGTTTGTTTTCCACGTTCCTGCACAGGTCGCCGGACTGGTAGTTTTGGGGTGAAGCGTTTGACAGGTTTATTTATATTCAATCAATCGCTATGTAAGCTGGTAGATCGGGCGGGACAGAGAAAGCCCCTCCCTACCCCCATATCGTTTAGGGGTTCAATATTTTCATATAAAAAATGTATAGCAAATCACCTACTTAGTTTTAAAATCGCCTAATTAAATAAGTTATTTCCAATTAGTTTGGGCCTTAACGAAGGATCCGTTTTGTAGGTCAAGGATCTATATTTTTGTGGGTACACATTTGCCATTTGTGAAATCTTATTAGGGTCTTGTCCAGATAAGCCCCGCCTCTAATGCAAAAAAAAAAAAAGTGTACGTACGAAAAGTTGAGCCCCGCAACTTTTTGCCATTTCTAATTTAATGCACACGCGCAACCTTGAGTGTTAGTTAAGGTTAAAGGTATCAAAATACAGACCTTTTCTCTCAACTTCGCATAAATTCTAAAAGTACAAGTTTCACATCCTCTTTTTATCGTTTTTTTTTTTTGTGGCGGGGGGGTTAACTTTTTTGGCGGGGCTTATCTGGACAAGATCTTATTGTAGGGGTCCTTTAAACGTGACGACAACAACATAAAAGCTAGCAGTTCCCTGAGCTGTACCAGGAGAGCGCCAGGTTGCACTACGCTTACCTGATAGCACTTGACCGTCTTTGAATCCTGATGCAACATCCGGACCGACCCCCTGCCCAGGGCGTCCCGCTTCCGCTGGGCGCTGAACATGCGCAGCTCATGGCGTTCCACCTCGGAGAGCGCGTGACAGTATCGAACCTCGTTATCGTGAGGCGGCAGCTGCTGCAGCAACTGGCGTATTCGATTCTTCTCGCCGATACTGTTGAGGTAAGGGACCCGCTCCTCAGGCAGACTGCTGAAGTAGAGATGGACCTGGAGAAGTAGAGTTTCAGTATATTAAGTTGTGTATTCATACAACTAGCACATGTTATTAAAATAAGTTGAAAGTCGGTGATTCTATTATTTCTGAAAAGTTTTTTCCTGCCAATACCACACGTGATTCTTGCAAGAGTAGGCTCGGGGGAGGGGGGTAGGAGGAAGTATAAACAGCTTCGATAAATCATCATATAAGTATTATATATATATATATATATATATATATATATATATATATATATATATATATATATATATATATATATATATATATATGTGTGTGTGTGTGTACTTTATTTATCACACAATAATTGGGGGGAAGGGAGAGGATCAAATATCTTGTACAGAAAAATTCAAGGTCACAAAATGTATATAAGTGTTTATGTGTTAAAATTCACAGTGCAATATACAGGTATGTCATAATTTAAGCGAAATTGAAAAAAAATATAAAAGAGCAGAAAGACAAAATCTTTTACACAAAAGAGAAGAATTAGGCTAATTTTAAAAATTTTCCCGTCTGCATTGGGTACGGCTAAGCTAATCACCCCCAGCCCCCCCCCCCCCCCCCCCCCCAGCTAACCTTAGACAGTTTACCCTAACGTGATAAGACAAACAGGACGATGACAAGGGGCAGATTATGAGGGATTAACCTGCTCACGCCAGGTTTACCATCAATTTATTACCTTTATTTAAAAATAGAAACGCTGTGATGTCTGGGAATTCCTTTTTTTTTATCAGATAAAAGATGCCTGTTAATCTAAGGCCTCCACCGTGTATCTGCTCGGGTAGGAGATGGGGGTCAGCATCATTACGTGAGCTTGTTTTAAAGTGCTTTTTAAAAAATTCTGTATGCATTTTTTAATCTTTGTGTTGACATAGCTAGCTGGTTTTATTTTTTATGTAAAGAAAAAAAAAGGTTACATAACCTTTTGGTGTTTCCGGTAACTTAGAAAAACTTGCCATGCCCATAAGGCATTAGCACACGAATTACTTCCCCTTGTCTGGCAGAGTACAGTCCCTGTAATACTGTCTGGCAATACGAGTAGCCCGTTCCACTTTTTATAATACCCAATCCAATAACAAATCTGGTCGGGTAAGAACACCCGTCTAGAAAAACACAGGACTAACATTTTTTAAATCAATTTCTCACTTGTTATTCAAATTGTCTAGAGTTTGTTTCATAGTTCCTTTTATCCGTATTGAAACAGTGCAATAGAAGAAAAAAAAATGTAGGCATACACCAAACACTAAATCTTAATGCAATGTATTTGAAAAACGTGGTCGCCGTTTATGTATTCAGCAAAGCAGGGTTTACTAAACCAGAGGAAGGACTGCATAGCCAGAACAATTTTTACGAAGTAAATCCAGACGTTTTGGTGTGAAACTTTCTCCCAAAAAATTAACAAAGATTTAAGACCAATAATTATTTATATTATTCTGAAAACATTCCATTCAAGTAGGTTCATCATGCAAGCCATTCTCCACCACTAAACACTTATTTATTTATTGATGAGGCAGTGGTTGGATGAAAGACTTAGTTTTATTGGAGAGTGCGATTCCTGCGGTTTATTGTAAAGTACGATTCCTGAGATTTTATTGTAGAGTACGATTACTGAGGATTTAGAGTACGATTCCATAGGTTTTATTGTAGAGAACTATTCCTGGGGTGTTATTGTATAGTACGATTACTGAGATTTTATTGTAGAGTACGAGTCTTGACGGTAAGAGAATTAACAATTGTACCCAAAAACACACACAGGAGATGTGTGTGTGTGTGGGGGGGGGGTGTGACAAGGATTTATGTTTCCATACAAGCGTTCACGGAACAAGTGCAGGAACTCACACATAGAACGGAGCAGTTCTATAATGAAAGGGAGGGGGGGGGGGGAGGGAGTGCAAGACAATCGTCAGACAAATGATGGGGGAACCAGAATAATAGCTCAGGGAATATGAAAGAACAGGTTAACATATTTCACACTTGAGTTACGAGAGGTTTAAAAAATATGCTTGATAGATTAAGAGACTCTTCTTATTAAATCAGACCTATGGGGGCGGGGGGATGGGGTGTAGGTAGACGAGAGAGAACGAGGGGAGGGGGTCCTATTTTCAACCATGGGATCTCTCCGCCAACCAGCAAGGCATCCATCTCAGCCGTCATTTATCTTCGCCTCCTACATGCAACTTTTATGTATCGTCCTGATCTCTGTACAAGAACCAATTCATTATTTAAGCGAGTCAAAAGATTTTTTAAGGTGGGCTTCTTATTTTTTTTTTGTATGTTAAGACAGGTTTTGTAAGGGTGGAGGGAAAAAATGAACGATCCCTTTCACTTGCCAGAAAAGCTTTCAAATATCCCAAGATGTCAAATTATAGATTAGACATTGTGTAAATATCTGACTCGCTCGTGGGGGCTAAAGGCGAGGGGAAAAAACTAATGTCAAATGAGGATTAGCCAGTTCCATCATTTCAACGTCTCTTATATAATAAAAAAAAATAAACGAAATAAAATGTTACACAAAAGTTACCCCGAAGTATGGTGTTTTATAATTCTTTCGGCAAACACTACTAATGTTTGTTTCTTAGTTCCAAGTTTTTAAATTTCAATTTATTTTAAGATGCTATGCTAAATCGAGACACGGGGTTAATATAAAAATACCGCTGGTTTAGATATTAATACCTAAATCAATATCCAAATGTAAACACTGACATCTGTGAGCCGATTTTTAAAGTTGCGAATTTTAATCCACCTGATATGATATTATTCAATTTTCAAATAAATATGAAATTTTTATTTGGGTAAAATTTGATATTCGTAGCAGTATTTTTGGAAGGATATAAAATTTTAATTTAAGAACTTTTTTTAAAGCTAAATTTTAAATGAAACAGTCTATATTTTAAAAAAAAATTGTTAACATGACTAAAGAAAGTTTAAAAAACAAAATAAAACATGGATTGGGAAAAAAAACCCACAACAACACTGGTCATAAGCAGATGGCTAAGAACAGCAGGGGCAGATAATGGGCAATCAGGGGAGGTGACTCCACGAGAACGAGTTTAACGGTGATTTGCCGCTCATGGGATGGCAAATGGAGAAAACGTACACAGGTTGGAAGATGTGGCCGCCTGAAAATGTCATTTTCTACCCACTTTAAATCTCCGAACGGATCGGGATGATTAAACGGATCGCAGGGGAGGGGAAAAATATAATTGCACAGGTATCGGCCACCCGACTCTGACCCGCGTGACGTCATGCGTACAAAATTGTTTGTTCACCTGTACGGCTTACATAACTAACACTTGGAAATAAGATGGGCGCTTCCCTATCAGATTCCAGATACACTTTTATTTTTTATAGGTATATATATATATATATATATATATATATATATATATATATATATATATATATATATATATAGCTATAAATATCTCTATCTATCTATCTATCTATCTATCTATCTATCTATCTATCTATCTATCTATCTATCTATCTATCTATCTATCTATCTATCTATCTATCTATCTATCTATCTATCTATCTATCTATCTATCTATCTATCTATTATATATATTAACTTGTGTGTGTCCTGTAAAAAGGAAAGCCGTTGAACCAGTCATGCGATCTTGAAGTAGTTTCCCCATATGTTCCATTAGTGTTAATCTACTCACCCAAACCCTCCATACACATCAATCACCAGTACCTCGTACACAAGCAGACGATTCAAATCTATCAAGCAGAAACAAATCCAAGTTTTATATTTACTTTGGCCCAAACGATTCAAATCTATCAAGCAGAAACAAATCCATGTTTTATATTTACCTTGGCCCAAACCACCAGGCATGGCATATTTCATCTAAATCAGATGCTAAGCCCCAAGTTTGGATTTTTTTATTCTGCGTTAAAAGTATCGCGGGCAAGTATCGTATCGATGAAACATAACTTGTGTGTAGAAACCGGAGGTCAATGCAAAGATTGGGCAGAAGTCATTACCTTAATTAGTCAATGGTGAGAAAAGATAAGAGGAAACAATAGGCAAGAGAAGCCAGCAGGCTAAGTCAAGGGGAGGAAGTCATCAGTGGAACCAGACAAGGGAGATAATATCGTGTGGATGTGGGTGACCTTTCCCTGCTCGCGGGGGACTAAACATAGACATCCAGACACGCGCCTCGGAAATGTTAGAACTCGCGTCTCGTCAGAGGCGGCGCCCGTACAAGTGTGGTGGGAAGGAATCCGTTGTCAAGGGCGGAGCCCGCACAATGCTTGTGGGTAGGATTGGGCTGTTAGGCAGAATCCCACTCGTTGGATCGTTGGATGTGGCAAAAATTATAGTCACACATGTTAGGTCAGGGGGGCTGGAAATACATTTTTATGTGTCGGTTATTTGTGTAATAATAATAAGTAGGAATAATAATAAAATAGTTTTAAGAAGCCTAAAAAGTATTTTTACAGGGATATCTATAAGGTAGAATAACAAAATGACATTATTCGTAACCAACCGCGATGAAGTAAGGTCGGTTTGGGGTTGAGGCAAGGCATTGATTTTAAAACTTTAGCTTTCTTCTTTTAAAAATAAATTTAACTGATACATACTTATTTTATATTTAAAAAAGAGACCTAACTACACTAACTAGTGTTCTTGGTATTCAGATATCAATTTTATCAAAACAAATCTATTTTTATATTGAGTGCAACTATCACTCCTTGATTACCTTTGGTCCCACTCCCCCAAAGATTTGATATATGTGTTATAAAGTCAAGAACATGCACATAAACAAAATCGCCAATCCCAACTTTTATATAAATATCCAAAGCATGAGACTGGAAGGGTGGGGGGGGGGGGGGGGGGAAATCAAACGCGATGTTTCATACAAGACATCCGCAAAAAGCAACAAGCTAAGGAGTGACCGCACACAAACACACAGTGCTAGAGACAGATGGAAACTTGCATGTCTCGCACATGGGAGTTGTGGCACGAATGGTTACAAATGGTATCCTT